TGGGTCGGTTCAAGGCTATGGACCTGGGTACACCTTCCGCAGTGTAGAGGACAAGGACGGATGCCCTATTCGGAAGTGTGTGAATTCCCTCGGTGCTAAGGAATTGGGGAAAACTGTAGTTGCTTTTGGTTCCCTGAGGCTTACTTACTTCCTTCCCTCTGCACCTCTGAATCCTCCTTCATGGAGGTTACAGGGAAAGTTAGAACAGCTAAAAATATCTTGGCAGATTCTAGAGGTTTTGTGATTGATCATTAAGGAGTTTTGAAACACTTGTATAACCTGGTCACTCCCTTCCCTTGAGTCAAGAGAGGATCTGTTAACCCCTCTCATAAGAGAAGAGAGTTTCACCCTTTACCCCTCACTTTTGATTTCACCCTCCCCCTGGGGGGAGGGGCAGCAGCTACAGCATGGCCCCCCCTGGCAATGGCCTTGGGCTCTGGGGCAGCCTTTGCCTGGAAGCATCATCTAGGTTCAGCACATCTTGCTCAAAGTAAAAGAAGCTGGCCTCTGAACTTGGGTAAGCACGCTCTTTTAAATTTGTAGTTCTGTTAACGATGAGATGTTGATTCTCTGTGTAAAGTAATTTGGAAGTGCATTTAACAAAACTGAAGTCACCTGATTGGTAATGGGTTTGTTTCAAGTTTCAAATTAGTGAACTTTCTGTATCAGTTATGTCAAGCAACTTTTCATAATTTGGTTACAGCTAAAATGATTTAGCTATTGTTATTGTTTTAATGTGTGTTTTACACTAGCCAAAAAGCTTGTTTGGGTTATGTATGGCTTGCTGAGAATTTGCAAATGTATAGAAATCTCTAATGATTGGTTTTTTACATTAGGATAAATTTAAGTTTGAGATAGTAAATCTTGGAAAAGGTTTTCTTAAGCTGTGATTAGTAAAACTTGCTGTTGGAAGTAAAAGCTAGTTGTCCGATGGATCATAATCCATTGATAATCAATAATCCACCATCTTGAGAGAAATGCCACAAGCTACTCTGAGAATGTAATACTGGTGGGAAGTCAGCATTAGGAAAAGCTGAGAAGACAATTTTAGATGGGATGCTCCCAGCTCAGTTTCCCCGTTATGTTCTTTTGAAAGGGAATGTTACCCACCTGGCTATTCCTGAGTCTGGCTATGAGGTGGATTTGATACTGCATGGTTGGAAAACTGAATTATTTGAATCCAAACAGAGCTAAGGATGTTTTATCCTCTAAAAGTCGGGCCCTAAATCTAGTCCCTGCTTTATATCTGGGCCCTGCAGTCTTTTCTGTCAGATTTGTGTCTTCCAGACTACAGGCCATTCACCTACAGTTGGTAACAGCGAGTACCAGCCAATGTCCCCCCATTGTTCCCTGGATGCAGCCTGTGCTCAGTTCCAGTCAACCTCCTCTTTGGGACCCCCTTAAGGCAGGGACAGCTCTATGCCCCTTGCCAGCAGGAAGCAGTTTCAGAAGCTGAGACCTTTGTCCCTTACTCCAAAAGACTTTGTGTCCCATTTGTTTGAGGGGAGAATGATGGAGTTGGGATCTGGACTTTCCCCACATGGCCAAATCTCTGGCCTTCCCCTGAGGCTATAATCCCGTTAACTGGTCTTTCATTGTGGACCTCCTTATGGCCCCAGGGCACTTCTCCATTCTCCCCTGGCCATGTGGTCTAGGGTCCCTGGAATTCTATTACCTCATAGACTACTTGGCCACTCCTAGATCCCTCTCATAGTCTTTCTGTATATAAGGTCCACCTTGTCTCCATTAAGTAGCTCAGATTCCTAAAATCTAGCCATTGCCTAGATTCTTATAATCTAGCAAATAGCTTGTTCGGACTCCTTAAGAGTCTGACCAATATGATGGATGTTCTAATAAACCTTGTCTGGAAAAAAAAATTCTTTAACAGATGTAATGAGAGAACTTTGATAATTTGCTGATTGATATCAAGTAATGCATAAAAAAAGACACATATGCTGAAGGTGTTTGCCATGATTGTAGAGGCTATTCAATGGAAAGTCCAAACCCATATATATAGCAAAGTTCTTGAGTTACTCCTGTATTCAGATGACATTGTGGTCATTATTTCGAGCCCCAAGATATTATTTTTGTTGTTCTTGTTCAGTTGTTTTCAGTCTCAACAACTGCAAGTTTGTGTTAAGAAATAATGGGAAATAAAGATGGCTAGATAAAATGTAGTCCACTGACATAAGTTGGGTTTCAGGTTGTTGAATCAGTTTGACAGATAGTTATTACAGGTAATGAAAATCAGATTCTTGAATGACATAGAATAGAATTTTACATCTAGAAGGGATCTTAAAGGTTATGTAGATTAATCTCTCATTTCAAAGGTGAGGAGGTGAAGAGATATGAAACTGGTTGCCTAAGGTCTCACAACTAGGTAGACTTTTCAATTCAATTTAAGGATAAATACTGGGTCAAATCTAATAAGGTGAAATGTAGTAGTCTCATAGTTAGGTTCAAGAATCAGCGATGCAAGTACAAAATGGAGGAGGCAAGGGAAGTTCATCTCAAAAAGATCTGGGGATTTTAGTGGGCTCTGAGCTCAGTGAGTCAGTAGTGTGATAGGGCAGCTAAGGAAGGTACTGGGACCTAAGGTTGTCTTAAAAGAGGCATAGTATTCAGTTCTAATTAAGTGATAGTATTATTGTGCTATGACCTGATTAAATCATACTTGTACTAATGTTCAGTTCTGGGGTGTCAGGAAAGGCATTGATAAGCAAGATAAAAAAGAGCATGAAGGACCTGATATCATATGACATGAAGATTAGTTCAAAGAATTGAGCAAGTTTAGATTGTAGAAGAAACATCTTATGAAGGGAACATTATAGCTGTTAAGCATCAGAAAGGCTGTCAAAAAGAAAAGGGATTACACTTGTTCTGTTTAGTCCCAGAGAGCAGAACTGCAAAGGTGGAAGTTGTGGAGAGGCAAATGGGGACCTGAAAGTAAAAACTTCTTAATAATTAAATTAAGAAGTCATAAGAGAAATGGGCTTCTTTGGAAGGTAGTAGGTAGGTTTCCTTTCACAGGAGGTAGTTAAGTGAAGGCTGAATGATAACTTATCATTATATATCAGACATATCAGATCAATATATATCAGATATATTACAGGAAGAATTCTTTTTCAGGAATGAGTTGGACTGGAAGGCCTAATAAGAGATCTCCAAACTCTGAGATCCTGAGATCACTGAACAGGCGAGGGAAAAGTAAAAAATAAACACCTAAGACTATGAAATCTTGGTAAATGGAACATAACCAACATTACTAAGTTTTCAGAAGGCTCTATGACATTCTGTGGGAAAACACAAATAAAAAAAAAAACATTTGCCCTCGAAGGGTTTATAATCTAATGAGGAAAACAGAATCTATCCTTTTGAAAAATACAAAAAAAAAAAAATCTTATACAGGAAGTGGCATTTGATTCAGGCTTTGAAGGACAAGTAGAATTTTATAAGTGCAGACAGGTGTAGGCATTACAAAAGAAATGAATGGGATGTATGATGTTTGAGGAAATGTGAGATTGATTTGAATGGAGTGTAGAGAGCTCATTTGGGAGAGTAAGAAAATTGACTAAGTTGGAGTCAAATTATAGAAACCGTTGAATGTGGACTTTATTAGGTAGGAAATGGCCAGCCACGCAAGGTTTCCCTTGAGGGAATAACATGATCTGAGTGGTGCTTTAGTAAGTTTAATCTGGTTATAGTACAAAAGTTAAATAAGAGACGGGAGTTAATAAAGTACTATATATGAATTGTGGTGACAGGAAGAAAAAGTGAAGGGCTAGTTCAAGAGAGAGATTTTGGTGACTGCTAACAAGATAGAGATGGGAAGTGGAAGGGAATGTCAAAGATGGTTTCCAGGTTTTGAGCCAAGGACAAAGTAAGCAGTCAGACCCTAACCCTAACCCTAACCCAAACCATTCCAGTCAGAAGGGCTTGTGGAAGTGTGGAAGGTGATCTTTTATTTTAGAGATTGCTGAATTTTAGACAACAGTAAGATATCTAATTGTCAAGGAGACAGAAATAACAGACTGTATCTCAAGAGGGGAGTTGGGATTAGAGACAGAATAAAGATATGACAGAGAGCTCATCTATATTTCTGCAGCTTTAATTAGAGAAAATCTATAGAAGAATGGAAGGCCAAGAATTAAATCCCAGGAAAAACCCACATTTAGGAGATGAAAGATGGAAGAACTGTCAAAAGACAAGAGCAAAGCAGGAGAAAAAACAAACAAACAACATAGTCCAGTTTCACAGAAATAAAAGGATAAAGTTCCAAGAAGAATGGCCTGCAACGCTGAACGGAAAGAAGTCAAGGAAAATGAGTACTAATAAAAGGCCGCTGACTTTATTGGTATTTGTCAATCAGATAATGATGGCAATGTCTCTAACTCTGGAAAGCATAATAGCATAAGCAATGTGGAATTTAAATACTTCCAGATAATGATTAAGATGGGGTCTCAGGTTGGTTTAAAAGATAGTTTGGAAGGACCAGAAAAGTTTTTTGTTTTTTTTTAAGGCAATTGGGGTTAAGTGACTTGCCCAGGGTCACACAGCTAGTAAGTGTCAAGTGTTTGGTCTGAGGCTGAATTTGAACTCAGGTCCTCCTGACTTCAGGGCCAGTGCTCTATCCACTGCGCCACCTAGCGGCCCCAAAAGTTTTGTTTTGTAAAAGAAAAAAAAATGTCTTTTTTCAAAGCATGAATTTCCATGGAAAAGAATGGGAAAGGCAGAAGGCAAAAGGTCAAGGTAAATAGCAGCTAATAGGTGACTATCACAAATAGACTATGATAATGATTTTTTTGGTAGAGGTTCACTACCATAAATTGACAAGTTATGAGAATCATGGCACAAATAAGCTTTGCATTTTATAACACTGGTTTAAAAATAGAACGTGCATAAAATTCAAGATGATTTACATCCGTCATTTATTCCCCCCCCCAAAACACATAACACACACACACACACACACACACACACACACACACACACACACACACCTTCTTTGCTTCCTTTAGGAGTCTTTATAGTGCAAGATGGTGTTGGAAGAATCTTTGCAGGTGTGTACGTATTTAAAGATATTTTTCTTCTCGGAGGTGGACTTGAATCGCAAAGCTGAGAACCTGAAAGTAAACAAGATATTTAAAAAATTACCTTTAAAACATTTTACCTTTGCATTTTGGGAAATTTCACTTGCCACATTCAGTGATCTTACTTGTGTATACATTCTAATGATTAAGCTGATTCCAATCTCTATTAAACAAATAAGCGTGTCATAATGGAAACTTTAAATTAAAAATAATTCCTCTTTCTTTTAATCAATTAAATCTGTTTCTGCTACAAATAATAAGCATTTCGATTCATAGTCTACAGAAAAACAAAAATTTCTGTACAAAAATATACTCCTCCCTTGACCCCATTTCTTCACCTTCCCTATCCTTGGTTATCCTCTTGAGTTGTTCATGCAGAAACATTCCATTTATATCACACAAATGTGGCTCACTTGTACATTCTGTGCAAAATTTATCAGTTAACTCTACTTACATAGGAAAAAAGGTTATTGGATCATTAAAGATAAGCGACTTACTTTCTATTTTATTCCTTAAATAAAATTACCACACTGTTCTATTTTAGCCTCATTGTTAATATTCTGAGATTCTATTTTAACACAATTTTCTTGATTAATGCTTAAGGAAACAACTAAATTCGAACTAAGAAGACAATTTAATTTAGCTTAACCAACTGGCTCTTCCATAAATGGATAGTATGTATATATGTGTGTGTATATGAAATAAATAGTAATATACTTCCTAAATGAACAGAAATACAAAAATGATATTTCAGTTGTAACCATTTTATTCCTTTCACTCTAAAGAGAGATGTATTCATGGGGCTTAGTCAAGTTGCTATCTTTTCATCTTTCCCTTTCTTGATGATGATTATTTCATAGGATTAAAGATTTAGAATTGGAAGGGACCTTAGAGGTTATTTAGTCTAACTCCTTTCATGAAAGAATTATTTTGGAAACAAAGAGGTTAAGTGTCTTGCCCAAGGTCACAGAAGTGGTAAAGGGCAGAGAAGGGTTTGAATCAGGTACTGACTCCAAATTTAACATTGTTTCCACTACATCATGGATAAATATTAATGCTGAATGATTTTAGTATAAAAAATCAGAACTTTACCTTATTTCAACATAAATATTAATTTTATCTAAGCACCTTATAAAATAGCAAAGATCATAGTTTTTCCTAGCCAAAAGGGTATAGCTAACAGGTTTAGTTAACTTTTTACTAGAAACGGTTACCTTTCAACTAAAATTGCACAATAGCCACTGAGTAACTTAAATGACAGTACATTATATGATGCTATAGTTCTATTATCAATATGATATGGATATTGAATTTTTTTTCAATAGTGATAATAATGGAGATCATGTGGTGTAGTACTAATCTATGAGCTTGATGTTGATTTCTTGGAAAAATAAAAAAGATTAAAGAGATAGTCTATAAGCACTTAGGGCAGTAATGATCACCATGATCCAACCTTTATTTATAAAGAACGAATCATGTTAGACTAAGCTAATTTCCATTTTTTTTTTTTTTGGAGAATATTAACAGACTAGCACATAGGATAATGGCACAATCACAATCACAGAACACTTGGATTATAGTATTTGACTATTCCATGCTATTCTTATGGATAAGATGGAAAGATGTGGACTGGAATATAATAGGCAGGAAGATTAGGAACTACTTGAAAGACTGGACTCAAACAGTAGTCATTCATGGATAAATGTCAACCTAAAAGGAATTTCTAATGGAATGCCATATCCTAATTCAACATTTTTATCAATGATTTGGAGGATATTGATGGTATATTTATCAAATTTGTGGCCAACAAAAGCTAGCTGACAGAATCAGGATCCAAAATGATCTTATAAGGCTATAAACAAGCACAGGTTGGATCATCGTTTTAATAAGAGACTATTATAAGAATTAGAAGTCAGCAAGTGGAGGCAAGGTGACTGTGTAGAGGAACTTGTGGTTAACACTTTAGCTAATGGTTAGCCTAGATCATGGGTGGAGAACCTACAGCCTCGAGGCCACATGTGGGCCCTTATGTCCTCAAGTATGGCCCTCTGACTGAATCCAAACTTCATAGAACAAATCCCCTTAATAAAACGATGTGTTCTATAAAACTTGGACTCAAGTCAAAAGGTTGCACCCAAGGACCTAGAAAACCACAGCCACAGGTTCCCCACCCCTTGATTAGATGATCTCTGAGGTCCTTAGATTCTACTTTTTTCTATAGATTTCCAGATCAACAGAAACATTAATAATTCAAATTAAAGTACTAATGTTCTTTCCAAATCTATTATAAAAGATTTTGAGATCAGCCATTTATCTATACCACTGCATTCTTTATTACCATTGAGAACTTTCCTCTAGTACTACTTTAGAGAAGGAAGAGGGGGGAGAAGAAAGACAATGTAAACACTATATTTGTACATGAGAGTGGCTTTCTAAGACCAAGTGTTTTATCTCATTTCATACTGAGGTGTGGGATTTTAACATCATCTTACAGATAGGAAATGGGTATGCAGAGCAGATGAAATTAATTTTTTAAATTAAGGTCACATCCATTAAGACCAGAGCTATAAAAGACTTAGTTGTGACCCTAGACTGATACCTCTTCCACTAAACTAGTGTTTTCATGCTGTAAGATCAAACAAAAACAGATTTCCACGGTGCTGCTGCTAAGAATGGCCACTTTATACTCCTCATCTTGTTTATTTAGAAAAATATATGCCTTCGTCGAATCTCTTTTCTTTTATAACCCAAGCCCTGAGGCATGGTGGTTCCAGATACCTCAACTCACTTGCCTGATTTTCCTGAAATGGTATGTGTATATGTCACCTATGCTCAGTAGAAAGAAAGGTATTTTGGAATTATTTTCTAATTATGGGAAGGTAAATTCTTTAAGAGGGGCTGTAAAAATGAAAAGTCTTATTCTATACTGTGAAATTCTTTTTTTATGGTTTAGTAGCTCATTTTATTTTCAGGTTTTCTTTATCAAGTGTAACCCAATTTCAATTAATGGTCATAATAACAAATTTTCATACAAGAAGGAGTTGTCATTCTTCTTTCATTTGATGGAAGTGCAATGGAAGCAAGAAAGTCATCCACCTGCTTTAAAGATAAGGCGTTGTGAAGAGTTTCTAGAGGGCAGATAGATGGTACCATGGAATATAATTCAAAGCCTGAAATAGAAAAACAAAAAATATCGATGGATGCGAGAGAAATTATGAATGAAAAGGAGAAAATACTGTTGCATAGAAACAAAAAAAAAAATTATCTTTTAAATGTAAACACATGCAAACATATGAGATCTCTGAAGTCATGACATCAGATGCTATGCAGTATGGAGTTAGAATAAAATGTGTCAAAGATTCTATTTTATATGTAATTTCATAGTATAGCATTCACAGGGATAATTTCATTCTACATTCTAAAAATTTGTAAAATGTAGGGAAAAAATTAAACGAAAGTAGGGGAGAGAAGAGCTAATCAGAGACACAAATTTCATTTTATATCCCCATCCCAGCTCAAACGCACAGATGATACATTTAAATTGAGTCTATTTTGCATTCTTGATAATGTAATAGCACCAATTTCTAACTGAGGGACAGTTACGAGTTAAAACTTAGGGAGAACAATTTAGCCAGGTATACTATAGTCAAAACACCCTCTTAATTATAAGATTACACACCAATATTGTTAATATTCATTCACTTACAGCAGATTTAAATTCAAGGACACAACTTTCACCTACCTTATTGAATTAATGAAATAATTTCTATCACTATAAATCATCAGTTGTACCCAAACAACACAAAATACAATTACATTCTCATTTAGTAACATTTGCACAGAAATACAAACAGTTGGTCAAACCAACATGCAGATAACGCATTATTGCTATCCGTGAAAAAAAAAATTTTCAAAAACACCAAGCATATTTCTTACTATCTCATATTTCTAAAATTGCCCGTTTAAAGCTTACGCAACTGAATGGCTTTTAAAACTGCTTCCACATATTGTTATACCACAAATATTTCTCTTCATTAACTACATTTTATTAAAAAACTCCATTCTCTTCACAAAGGTTTGCAATACTTAAAAAAAATGCCAAAATAAAGTATATAGTCTCTAATTAAAAAGCAATTGTCTGGTTAACACAAACACTATTTGCTACTAGATACATTATTCTAACAGTTGTGTTTTGCTTTAGTAAATTTTTAACTAACCTAAATCTGTTACATTTTGACCAAAAGAAATATATTATTATGTTGAATTTAATTTAGAAGTTCTATGGTTAAAACAAGACCTATTTCTATAACTCAAGTACTCTATTTATTTTGAACCGAAATGTACTTAAGTACATAAGCAGAAAACAGTTTTCAGCAGCTTGATCTTCATGTGCAAAACAGGATAGCACATCAAAAACATCACATACCATTTTTTTTTTCACAACAGTAAGTAAAAACTCCACTTTAAGCACTTAAGTATATTGATTTGGCACAAATATTACTATTTTAAAAACACAAAGATTCATGCAAGCAAGCGCAAACCCTTTCTTTGCATTAAAAAAAATTATCTAGACTCCTTCCCCAAATGTTAATCACAACTTCACAAATTTGTTTTTTATTGCATTTACCTATCATATTTTGTAACAAGCAAATGCTAATATATTCAGGATGCTCTCTATCTAGTTTTCCTTTCTCCTTCTGTAATGTTTTTTTAATGGACAATGAAAGGGTTAATGCAATTTTTAAAAGCCACCCTGCTGTCATGTTTAGAAGCTACAAAAACATACCCCTGGAGCCTAGTAATTCCACAGAGGAAATGGACCACCACCTATAGAGGTGTGGGTATTCTGCATTGAGGCCCAGAAATTAAGGTAAAGTACTGTCAGAAGATACTTGTTTCATCATGTTCCTCGAACTAAATATGAAGGGAGGGATAAGTCCATGAAATGAGTTAAAGGAGGAAACATGAAAGTTGAAGGAAATAAAAGTGAAAGAAGAGTCAAATAAAATACACAGGACAGATACATGACAGAAGAAAGCTTGAAAGAGCAGGAAATCTTGAACACCCAAAGGCTAAACTTATAGGAGTTCAAAAGAATGCATATTAACGTGCACTAGATCTTGAAAGGTGGGAAATTCATTTAGTTTAAGAATTTTTAAAAAATCTAATGTGGGATATTACAATTATCTTTGGCCTCCATTTGCTTCAAGAGTACTACACTAAGTCCAGTCTACACAGTCTTTCCTGCACACACACACTTCTCTACCCTTGCTCTAGAGCAAGGATTAAAAAACAAACAAAACTATCTTAACCTTGTGAAGTCTCAGAACTCTGCGTCTTGTTTTTCTGTAAGATAGTTCTTTTAAAAAGCTCCTCTACAGGAATCTTCTTCAGGAGTTGAAGCTGTGTCAAATAAGGCACTATTTCTCCAAAAACTTGTATTTAAACAGCTACAATGGAGGAAAAATGTGAAACTTTACAGCCAAACTTTCATATGTTGAGTTTAATTTCTTACTCCACCACCACAGGCCTTCAAGGAATGGCACTGCTTCATTTACAAGGGAATTTGAGGACTATAAGAAGGAAAAAAAAATTAAACTTGTATTCAAATCTACCCATTTGATCTAGTTTTCTGTGAGCCTTGACTTCCAGTAGAAAAAAAGAAAAATTCTCCTACATCAAAATATCTCTATTTTGAGGCATTTTTTGGCTCAGCCATAAAAATTGTGTGTAAGAGGAATAAAGCTTTTCAGTTTATTTTAAACTGTTTTATTTCTGTCAAAAGACCCCCCGAGTTTTAAATGATAAAAAGGATGTTGCTATTCAAAAGCTGCCCAGCACATACGACATTAATCCCATCAAAGATGAAGGAATTCTGGGTGACGGGGGGATTTGATTGTGAAAGCCCTACCCCAAGGAAGCATAACACCACATGATGATGAAGTTTGAACTCCCTGGTTGCCTGAGCTTTACCACAGACAGAAAATGGTGAATTTTGTATACTTGTAATCTATGATTAAATATCTCAGTAGAAATATCTATGTGACCAGAAAAAAGGAATCAGGGAAAAGGTACTTTAAAGGATATTAAAACTATTAAGAATTAAGAATAATTAAGTATAATTAATGTTGATATTATAAAAAGGATATAGTTGGATCACTTGGTAAACTGGAAAAAGAAAAGGAATTTCCAGTGTAGATTTATAATTAAATTGATCTTCAACATGGGCAATTAGAATTTTATTTTAAAATTTCATAAATGATATCTTTATGTAATTTAAAAGTGAGGAAAGGAGCTACACAGTATTGTTGTTTTAGATACATAACAAGTTAGAACTGTGTGCTGGTTTGAGTTAAAGAAGGACAGATGAATGATACTGTATACCCCACATTTGGAAATAAAGTAAAAAATGGATGAAGCAAGGGAATATCTTTTAAAATAAAAAAAAACGTACCATTGGTTGGGTGTCGAGCAAATGAGATAGAAAACCTTTTAACAGCAGAACCACGTGTGGCGTCTGAGAAAGAGAAAAACAGGTACCTGAAATTCACAACAGCTACCAAAAGAGGGACATTTAAAAAAAGAGGGACAAAAGATGAGAAGGTTAGAATCCAGTGACATGCAGAAGGGATCATGAAAGAAGGCTGTAGGCCAAAATACTGGTTAAAAGAATTAAACTGGTTTGCTAAAAACTGCAAGGCATTTAATGAAGTGTATGAAAGAAGGAGAAGCAAGATGAGCAAGTGATTTTGGTATATATAAAACTGAACTGGCTAAAGTAAATTTATGTGGAGTGTATAAATAAGTTTGTAATGTAGCTAACTTGATCTGAGGATTAAAAACTACATACCCCTTTGAGCTTCCAACTCCTGACAGAACAAGCCTCTATAACACTTCAAAGACCCTCTAAAAACTAAAATATACATACATATATAAATATATAATAAATAAAATAAATATATAACAAAAGCAAGAAGTTTTTTAATGAGGAATACTAAAGTTTTCATCCTATGCTGTCAATACTTTATAACATTAACAGCTTGACATTTCTTTCCGTTTCTTATACAAATTCTTTTCACTGTAGTTTAGTTCAATATCAGTAAGAATTTCAGGGGGAAAATAGACAGAAGTTTCAGTTATCACAGAAAAATCTCTTCGTTTAGCCACTCTCCTCTCACATAAAGAAATGCTTAAGAATTTACATGTCAACAAACTCCCAGGATACAAATATTGTATATAAACCTGAAGTCAAGAGCTACAATAAACTCTGCCAAACACATATCCAAGCTGTGCATAGTGAAGAGAGCTTGAACTCATACAATGGGGCAGAGAGAGTCACTGGCCTAAGGCTTGTCACTGAGGAATGATGTGTGCTCGTGGGTGTGTGCGTGGGTGCACATTTGTAACTGTGCGTGCGTGCGTGTCTGCACATACCATCTATGCAGCCAGAAGAAGTCAGCTTTTTACGATGGGTACGAGCATAATCCTGGAGGTTAGGTGCGCTTGAAGAACCCCCGAGCACTGAGGTGCTAAACAGGCTCGCACAGTGAGACCCTGATGGGAGTTAGAGAAAATACATACAGCAACCGGTGTTCTTCCATTTACATTGGGGTGCATGCAACATGCAATTAACATGGCTCAGGTTCACAATATGCTTGTAATGGCTTAGCAGAATAATTATTTTAATTTACTGTATCTAAATATCACTGTACTTTTAACACACATACAAGAGGAAATTTAACAAGGGGACTTAAAGCTACCTTTGCTGGCAAAAAAGGTCCAAGAATATTTAGTTTTACATAAAATCTAAAACATATTAATTAAAAAAAAACAAAGACATTAATAGCTTAGGATTCTCTAGAAATCTGTCATTTTTGTTTTTGCAAATCAATTATCTTGAGCAATCCTCAAAAACTTTTGTGCTATGAGAAAAATTATGTTAGTAAAATTATAGTATGGCATATTATAAAGTGATGTCTTAGTTCATAAAAGATGCTTCAGTGTATTAGAGAAACAGAACTAAGGGTTTTCTCAAAATCTTTGGATAAAATTCCACTTATTTTATTTTTGTTATACTATAAAATCAAAGCTAAACTACTACTTGTAGAGGTAAGAGTTACTTTTGTGTTTCTATTATATTTGTGTTAAGAAAAGTGACTAAATCATTTGGAATTTCTACTATTAAATAAATAACAAATCCTTTGTGGGGGGTAAAAAAAAAAAAAAGGAGTGTCACCTAATAAAACACATTACTAGCATATGTGATGAATCCCAGCCAGAATAACTTGTGCCTGGTTTGTGGCAAGTCTTTATACCCAAGCAAATCCTTCACCAATGCATCTATCAGTTTCCACCAGCGCTATTATGTTACATCAATTAAGAAAAGGAAGATTATATAAATTTTTAGCAAGACACTGTGGGAAAATCAAAATCTGTCATCATTAAATGTATTCATTTGACTAGAGAAAGTAGAAACATAAAATTACCACAAATATGTAGGCATAATACAATAGTTCAGACCCTTTATACAGAGAACGCAGTACTAATACATTTGAACTTACATGAATTTAATCCTATCTTAAATCTACATAGGTAAATGCTAATTACAGCAAACACCACATCACTTCATATAGTTTATCAACCATATGAATTTTAAAATTTAGGGTTTATAATTTTATCACACAGAATAATGATTGTTCCACTGTTACGTAGAATGTATGTAAGAAAATACTAGGGGATAATATTTTACAGATGAACAAAAAGTAAGGTTTGAACTTCGCAATCATCAAATTTTCTTGGAAGTTGCCAAAAAACAAAACAAAACAAAACAAAACCCAACTAGGTATCAAAAGTGAGTTTATTTCTAAAGAGGCTTATATAAAGTTGAGGAAAAATTTTAGTTTCAGAACACAAAGTTTAAATCTAATTGGATGATATCTTTCAGTGGCCTAAATAGTGTGCTACAGGCTGTGGCAATTCAATTTATATGGTTTAATAGGTAGGGATTATAAGAAAATGAATGTTTGTCCTTGTTCACTTTATCGAAATGTGTTTTGTGAACTTATGTTAGCAAAATATTGGGCAACTCATTATTCTTGAATAGGTATGTACAAAATATAAAGTAAGCATAGCATTTGGTCATGCTTTCACAACTTAAAAATTTACATGTGTGCAAGACAGTGTATATTATTAGGTTTGTTAAAGGAACAATATTTCCATCAACCAACATACCTACTGCACTCTGCTTTTGGTCCATATTCCTTTGTTTTCTCAGAAAATTAGTATTTTCTGAAACAACCTGGATAAGTAAAGCAAAAAAAATGAGGCAAAACAGAACTATGAAAAAATCAAATGTCCATTATACTTGATACAGCAGCCTGTTCCAGACAGACAAGGGTTAATAAGCATGATAAATATTAGTAGAAATACATAAAACACAAAAGATCATGCAAGATCCCCTTCTGAAGGGAGTCCATTTCACATGAGATCCTTGCAATGAGGTGGTGCGAAGCAGGCATTCAGAATGAGGACATGGATGAAACAAGACAGATGAAAAGGAATCATTTATAGGTCAATATAATTCTTTTTTTGGTTTGTTTAAAAAGAAACCAAATGCCCACTCTTAACAGCTCCTGTACTGGAAAGGGGTGGGAGGGAAACAACAAAAAAAAGGGGAAAGACAATCCTTCGAGGTCACCAAACAGTTACTGTTCCATGCAATGGGCTTTATCAGAGTAACCTTTACATAGACACAGCCTTAATGGATACCATAATCCCTTTTTCTATAATTAGCTTCCTTTAAGTTCGAAATGGAAATTGCTGAAATTCTTAGAGAAGTCATAGCACGTCTTCCATTGTAAAAAACAATAACAAAAGCCTCCACAATATTTTGAATTTCAACAACAAAAAACTTTTCTGGATTTACTTTATTTAGCACCAAAATATTGTTAATATATCCAATTTCTGTCTTATTTTGGGGGAAAAGGTTCAAAATATTGTATAGTTCAATGGAAGTAGTACTATTTAAAAAAAAAAATTCCTCAATTTAAAACCTCCACATAAAGAAGTTTGTGAGGAAGAGAATGATTAGTGCTAGAGTTTGACTCTGTAGTTAATTCTAGGTCACTAAGAATCTGATATATAGAAAACTTTTAAAACCCCAAATTCTAAATAACATCTAATTTTTTCAATTATGGAGAAAAATTAAATTTACCTACCACCAAATTAAGTATTTTTAAAAGTCTTAAAGGACAACTAAGCCAAAACAAGAGTTTGATTTATCAGTCGAGTTAAAATTCCAAAAATTTAGATTTTTAAAATAAAACAAATCTTGGAAATTTAAAACAGAGAAAATGCTGTGAAACAATTCAGTTGATTTCTTTCCCTCAAAAGTTCTTAGATATCACAAGCATTTAAAAATGTACAAATCAAATTCAAACAGAAGGATTTATTTCAATAGAAAACACAAGGGATTAGATGTCCTCAAAGACAGTTATTTGTTGCTCTGAATGCGTAAAAATGTTTAATGAAGTAAAGTTTAGAAACCTGTTGCCATGAGCCAAAAATACTGGATGTGAATGCCAGTGATTGAGGGGAGACAGGGGAAGAGGTGATTTGTTCCCCTGATCTGCGTCTTCGACGCCCAGTACCCACACCACTGGTGTAATGCAGCCAGGTACCAGTACCCTCTGGGCTAGACACACTCAGGGGGCTCTCTTCCTGGAAGTGAGAAAGGGGGCAAAAACAAAAAAACAAAAAAACAAAAAAACAGCAAAGCATGCACAGTTAGATACAATAGAGTCAAATGATCAGAAAGAAAAAAAAATACAGTTCGTACTCTTTCATTCACTTTTCTAAAACTATTAAACAGTAACTAGGGCATCAAAATATTTCAGTATTTAATTTGATAGCTCAACGGAAATATGACCATTAATTCATCCTCAGACCTCATAGTTTCACAATTTTTTGATAAAAAACTATCAAATGCATTTTCAGTTCTAATTGAGAAAAAAAGTAGGAATTATTTATTGCATACATATTGTATGTACTGCTTAATAGTTTTCCCCTCCCTCTTCAAACAGGATAAACTTCCCCAATTTCTATTCAATAGATTGTTTTTATTTTTACTCAAGAGGCTTTGTGTTCTACAGGATGGATTTTTCAACCCAAAGCCCTAATGAACTGTGCTAAGGAGTGAAGAGATTTCAAAGTATGAAAAGTATTACTGTCTGCCAAACATTAAAAAAAAAAAAAGAAAAGAAAAAAAAGGCTTTTAACAGAATAAAATGGAACCAAACTTCACTTGCTTATACTTTCAAACTATTTATTTTTCTACCCCCTCCAAAGACTATTTTGAAGAGTTCAGTAGGTAAAACATGCAGCAAACATTCCCATTTTACATGTTTGCATGTTCAGGTTTCAGACAGTGAGGACAGAGTAAAATCTACTTGCACCAAATGAAGAGAATAGTCTGTTTCTCTGAGTGTCTTTAGGAAGTACAAACTTCTGATTTCCATGGAGGTGGTGGGCGCTGGAAAAAGTCTTCAATGTTTTACTTGAATAGTCTACCTTATGGAAGTAAAAGTTTAGCATGGCATAGAAATATCTCTCGAAAACAACTATTAAAGCATTTTATAGAACATAAGGTTTACAAATGGGCTGTTGAAATTTTGAAAAATTAACTAGGGCAGTGATTTTGTCAGATTTTTGCAAATATCACAGATCAGACATAAAATGAATACTTATTGATGCATTTGCCATGGTAGTGTTTTGAACTATTTAGACTGCAGAGGAGAAGGCTTTACAATGGTCTTAAAATAATTGTGTTAAAGAATTTGAACAATGGAAGGCTACTCTGCTCAACAACATAGCAAAATCACTGCCCTCACATAAAAAGTAATTTAGGCTACATTACCATATGTCACTTCCCAAGTTTTCTGAAATGAAGTAGCCTTAGTCAATCTAAACTTCTTATTTCTTAAGTAAACGTAATAGCACAAATAAGAACCGTGGTCAAGGAAATAATATATGGTGTATATTTTCTTAAAACTTCTACTACCAACTTAGAATCTATTGATTAAAAAAAGAGACTAGTATAGGTACATTTCAGATTCAAAGACTAATGGAAATACTATTTTGAGCATCATTTAAAATGAAACTGAACATATTTCCTCCCCAACTATTACTACTCACCATTTGTATATTGGTTATTCTAATTTCTGTAATTTTTTTTTTGTAATTTAATAGTATTTAATGATTTCTTCATAGCCTTGAGCTTTTATCAAAAATTACTGAAATTAAGTGGTAGCCTGATTCAATTCGGGAGACACCAGCACTAATAGAAAACAAATATTCCAAAACAAAGTAATTTTAATCTATAGGTATATAAATCATATCATAGGTATTATTATGATGCTCAAGGTACTTAACTCTTTCTTTTTAAGTCTTACCAAAGTACTTTTGCTACTGGGTATAAGGAGGTTACTAAGGTATCTATGAATCTTAAACATTAATTATTGCAATTTAAATGAATTAGGAAAAGTTGATTAATATTGAGTTTTGTATTCATTAGGCCAAGTTATCAACTTGGTTTTCCTTACCTTAAACTGCTACCATTCAAATCAACTGCTGCTGAAGCAATTTTACCAATTCCTTCCCAAACCCAACCAAAAATCTCTCCCACCTAAAGTAGGTTTTTTTTTTTAGGTTAAACAAACAAACAAACAAAAAACCTTATACCACAGTAACCTCCAGTGACAATGAGAAGAGACAGAAAATCTGTAAAGATCTTAGCAAAGATTTATCTTGGTAGCTTTAGACACTTTCTGTCATAAAACTAAAAATAAAGTTCAGAGACCTAAATTTTACAAATGCCTCCATATTTTTATTGATTTCTTTAAAAATAGACAAAGTTTTCATCCAGAATTTCTACTAAGTTCCCAAGTCAATTAAACTTAAGCTGTATTTTCTTTTCTATTTTATTAAACTACGGTTAAGTTTCTTTCAGAGATAACATGCTATAACACATATACTTACTTCACTTGCCTTCCTACTTCGTGGAAGGGGAGATTTTTTGTGTATGTGAATTGGATCTGATACCATGGGTTTGAAAATTACTACAGCTCTATCAGGCTCATCCTTTTTAAATCTGTATGCCTCATCATCACATTCACATTTTCTGGAGAATTTCTTTTTGTCTTCATTCTGCAGGTGGAGAGCATTATAAATTTTTCTTTAAGACAAAAGCTTTGCTTTAATTACCTAAACAATTACATTACTAGTGGCAAAAATCACATGAACTGTCCATATAAAAACAGATATATTCAATTCAACAAGTATTATTGAAGACATATTATGTGCCCAACACTGGAAAATATGAAGCAATGCAGATGACTGATTAGCTTCTGAACTGAAAGGATCTTTTGAGGGGAGATGAGACTCAAACACATAGAACAATGAAGACATTACAAATGCCAATTTAATCAAGTGCCAAAATGAACAATGAAAAAGAGAAATTGCCAAAAATGAAAATAAAGGTAGAACAGGGAAGGGAGGGAATAAGCATTTATATAGCACCTTCATGCCAAGCATTGTGCTAAGCACTTTTTATACATATTAACTCATTTGATCCTTACAATTCTGGGAAGTAGTTGTTAAATTATTCCCATTTTACAATTGAGGGAACTGAGGCAAACAGAAATTAAGTGACTTGCTCAGAATCACTCAGCTAGGAAGTGTCTGAGGCTGGATTTGAACTGTGGTCTTCCAGGACCAGGGTTCTATCCATTGAGCCACCAGCTGCCTCAAAAAACAGAATGAGAAGATTTCAAGTTACCAATTTGTCTTCTTCCTCTAAGGTTTTTTGGGAGGATGAACTTCAGTAGTTATGAAAGAACGTGGACAAAAATGTGAAAGTTGAGAGGGCGAAGATTTTCACAGCTAAAGGACCCCATAAAAACCAATGAGATCATGAATATAATGAAGTACTAAAGTTGGAGGGCGTGTAGCTAACACTCATTTTTCATGTCTGTGTATTAGTTTTAGACAATAAATTGGTAGTAGAAATTTTAAGAAAATGTATGCCAGATATTATTTCCTTGAACACAGTTCTTATTTGTGCTACTATATTTACTTAAGAAATGAGAAATTTAGAATGGCTAAGATTACTTCATTTCAGATAAGTACAAAAAATTTCTGATTTCCACATGCATTTCCCAGGTTGTTCAAAACATTTATTGGTTCTCAGTTTTGAAAACTGTGACCGTTGTTTTATTATTAAATTCTTAAGTAATTCCTTTCAAGAGTTATTTTTATGTCATGCTAAACATTTAATCCTATTAGGCACACAACAGAACCTTGAAATTTTCTGTCACCCATCACTTTCATGGAAATCAGCAAGGTCTTTCTCTATCTTCCCCATCCCCCAAAGCAGACCAGCTAATAAAAACTTTCTGACTTCTTTTGGTGAGAATTTCATCCTTCAAAAGGTAGAAAAAACAACAAAGGGAAATTTCATTTTGGATCTTATGCTTGATAACAGGGAGGAACTAGTTGCTGGGATTAAATTATGGAAATCCTGAGAAAGTAACTACTATATCCCAGAGTTTATGATAGAGGACAGAAAATTTTGCCAAAGATTCATATGTGCCATAGATTTCAAAGGGCTTAGAAGAATGACAAGTAGGATCCCACAGAATTAAATGCTTCAAAGGAAATCAGTTGAGGAGGGATGAGAGAAGAAGAAAAATGAAATTTGTCTGGAAAGACCAGTATGGCTACACAGGAAACTCACTAATGAAATTATATTTTTAAAAGAAACATAGAGAAGATGGAAGCAAGTAAAGGTAATACTGAATGAATACAAGATATTCCAAAAATCTTAGTGCCATTTTAAGCTATTAAAGTTTAAAACAGCACTAAGACTTTTGGGGGGACACTGTACAAAAGCGTGCTATGTTTCTATAAAAATTCTTTTATAAATGTTAAAGCTCAGAATGAGCTGAAGCTAGTGAGAGATGCTAAGGACAATAGTAGGTTTTTAAAAAAAGTTATATTGGTATTTCATCACAATCTCATACCACAACATGTTCAGCCATTCCCCCAATTGATCAGAACCAAGAGAACATCATATACAGTAACAGCAATATTGTTTTAAAAACGACTTTAAGCAACTAAGTGATTTTGACTATTATAAACACCCAAATTAATTACAAAAGACATATGAAGGTAGATGCTATCTGCATCTAGAGAAAGAACTGATAAATAGATGTACAGAATCATTTTACACACACACACACACACACACACACACACACACACACACACACACA